CCACCACTCGCTGTCCTTCTTTTTCATGACAAGAACATCTTCAACCTTCTTTCTCTCCGAAGACACCCTTAACTGCCACAGTTCAAGACCAGCATTCAAGAATAAGATCCTATCGATTATCATCATGACACTTGAAATTTTCCTGGTTGCAAAGAATGGACCAAGTTGGTTTTGTAGCAGTTGTACGTTGGAGGATGGTTGAGAAACTACTTCCAAACGCTAGAACTGAGATATACAATGCCTTAATCACCTTCAAAACCCAATTTGCACACTCTGGTACCAAGTGATCATGAGTCTCTTTTCAAGCAAAGCTGAGAAGGCCCGAGGCTGCACACAGTGTTGAAACTTGGCCCTTTGATCCGGCCATGTGTATATTGTGCGGGTCGGGTGTGAAATGAGATGATCGAATCAGTTCACACTTTACACGTGTTCGATGGTGATTTGATGTTGAATGGAATTTTGAATTCGCATTTCTAAAATAACAGACTCACTGAGACTCAACCACCATCACCAACCAATCAACCAGCAACAATCGATTGAGATGACCAAACTTCAAAGGCCTTCAATGAAGAACTCTTCAAAATTACGAAAATGCTCAATGCATCGATTCTTAATGACGACTTTGATTTTCTTTCTTACTTTCTTAACTTACATCTCAGAATGTCATACTATCGATGTTCCTCCAAGGTCTACGATATGTTTTTTCGAAGATCTACATAATGAAGATCAGGTGAGTGAAGGAAACCAATGTCCTACTGGGTGGGTTCAAAGGGATCCCATTGAAATCTATCAAATCAAAAACCTAAACTATGATCGCTTACTCCTTGATTTTCATCTTTTCTTAGATGACAATAACTTTTCAGGTTGCTGGTGGTGGACATCTTGATATTGATTTCTGGCTAAACGATCCATCTCACAACTCACTTTGGTCAGTCGAGAAACGTGATACTGGTACATTCAGTTTCACAGCCCATACGGATGGTAAACATGAATACTGCTTCAGTAATCAAATGAGTTCGGTAACCAGTAAGACTGTGAGCTTCAATGTACATGGCGTAATGTACGTAGAGGACGACGGTAAGTACAGATAAACTCGGACAGGGTCATTGGCTGTTATCAAATTTAGTGATTTGCAACATTATCGATATCTAGGTCACACCGCACCGATCGAGACTGAGATCAAGAATTTGGCTCATGCACTAGAAGCTGTCAAGGAGGAACAGGAATACATTGTGGTCAGAGAAAAGCTTCACCGAAACAGTAAGTTCTTATTACCTTTTTCCACGGTAGCATCAAGTTTAGTTAATATTATCATTACCTTCAAGCGGCTGAATCAACAAACGATCGGGTAAAGTGGTGGTCTTTGGTCCAGGCTGGGATGGTACTAGCTGTCACAGCATGGCAAGTCTTTTATCTCAAAAGGTCGGTCCCTATCTTGTGTAAGGTCTCTCTTGCAGAAATGTGCGATATTGAGAAGCTTTACTTTCTGGGCTTTTGGTGATCCCAGGTTCTTCGAAGTTAAAAGGGTAAGCGTATTGATTAAAACAATTATACTCCGAAAAATATCCTTGCTAATCATCAATCATCCTTCTGTGAATTTCCTCCAACAGGCAGTATAGAAAGTTTTTCATGCTTCGCAGTGTGGTGTTCAGTGATCAGGCTGTTGGGAATAAGTATGCAAAGAGTCTCTACGTATATTGAGATCTGGAAATGACGATTGGCAGTCATTCTCAAAGGCTTGAAACTCATTGTACGATGTTGTATAGAATCATTGAAGCAACGTGAGATCAAAAAGTTTTTGTGACCCTTGGGATCGCAGAATGGATTTGTGGAACAAAGAGTATCAACTGTTGATCTCTGAGCATGCGTGGTGATGATAGTTGCAGGTCCTTGACCTGGCTCTCATCCCCCAAGCTCAGAGATAATCATCAAAGTATCGAATACAAAGACCGCCATCAGCTCCGCTGATAAGTGCCAACATTGAGTGAGTAACCTTAATTCCAACACGCTTTTCAAAATTCAGATAAAGAGAGCCGAATCTCTCCAGAGTCCATGCTCTCGTTGACATATTTCCCAACAAGCTAAAAAATGCTCTGGATGGGTTTCACCCAATGTGACAAGTTGAAATGTACGTTGCTGATCCAATGCATGAACATGAGTATGTAGTTAAAAAATAAAACAAAGAAAAATGCTGCAAAAAGGTATAATTTAGAAACACGAAGAATGATTACCCGTGGGAAGAAGTTGTAGAGTATATACTTTTTAGAAGGGTTATGCAATAGCGAGTTCATTTTTTTACTTTTAACGATCAACTTTATATATATACTAAGGATAAAGGTTCACATGAAGTTAAGTATCAGTATAGCTAAGATTGTTGAGAAGAATCCAAAGGTCCAAAAGATATTTGTCGAATGTGGAGCGTTTCCAGTAAGTTGAACGTGTTGATATGCTTCCCAACCAGAGACCATAAGTAAAACAAATGCTTGAGCTTCAGCACTAACTTCAGTTGATTTAAGTGGTATTGGACCTGTCATATTTTGAGGATTCACAACGGGTGAAACGATTCCAGTTTTGGGGTCTACATGTTTTTGTAAGATTTGGATTCTTGCTCTATCGATTGAGTCCATTGGAAGTTTGGAAGCTGTTGAGGGCTTAAGTGAAACTAATCTATAGGCTGCTGAGGCTAGTAAAGCCGTCCCCGCGACCTCATCATCTAATTAAGAATCGCAAAACAAATCATTCAGTCAGGTAGATAGCTCAAGTGACTTCTTGTTCAGAAGGATGAAGCTAAAATCTGTTCAAGTCTTACATGTAGTAGTATTGGCCGCAAAGTAATTGGGCAAAAGCCCAGAGTCACTTGACTGAAACTTGAATCCTCCATTAATGACCTCAAGAACCCAAGACAGGATCTCAACTTGCCAAGCCACTGTTTCAGACCGAAGAGTATCATCACGAATATTTTGCATGGTGGCCAAGACCCTCATGAGTCCAGCGGCTACCCATCCGTTTCCTGTTGACCAAAGACCTGGATCTTGAACAGGTTTTTGACCAAAGAGTATATGCCGCCAAGTCTTAGTCACTGGATCTTGCATCGCTGTGCGATATAATCTGATTTGATCATATGCTAATTGAAGTAGAGTGATGTTTGATGTTTGAGCTCCGTAGTATGCTATGAAAGGTGGGATCATATACATGGCATCAGACCTAACTCAAGGTCAAAAAATCATATGGTAATGAAAATGAGTAATGAATCTATTTCGGAGTAAGACTCTTTGAAAGATCTGACAGACCAAAGTTGAAATTCGCTTTCTCTATGTGAAAATTCTCCGTGGGGTCCTTTAAAAGTCGATCCAAGTAAATGATCTAATTGTTGTTGTGCAGCTTCACCATATTGTTGTCCTTGAAATTTTTGCTCAGATGCTGGTCTTGAACCTACTGTCATTCCTGCAACTATCACAGCAACACCTAAACTCGCTGGATCCCCAAGTGCACCATCTGGTATGATAGGTCGTGGTGCTGAGCTTGGCTTGCGTGATGCCATGATGGGATCTATTATATCAAAGATTTCATTGGGGACTATGTCTGGTGAAGCCTTTAGGGGAATCTTGTTTGATGTCGAATAGACGCTCAGGCTTGGGTAGAATCGCTCCAAAATAACTTCTGCGGCAGTTCCAAATTCCCAACTGACGTGATTTTTTTTTGCCGGTGATGGAAATTTTTCTGATGTCAACTTACACCTCAATGGAATTGAAAAAAGATAGAATAGGGAAAGACTTACGAGTTATGTGTGTTGTTTTCAAGAACTTCATATATCTTACTTCCATACTTCAATGATTGTGATACGTCAATAGCGCCGTGTCTATCAAGAGCTACAAGATGAAGTAGGAATGAGATTAAAAGTCTTTTGAAGCTCGTGTGGCGCATGACGCCTTTGGAATTAGGAGAGTGCGTGAAAATTACGAGTAATGGTTATGATTAGCTTATGGTTAGAAAAAATAAAGCAAAAGGTCAAGGAGAGTATCTGAGTGATGGATAGACGAAAAAGAGTGCAAGGTGCAAGGGAGACAAACCCGAGAAGGCTATCTTTGAAAAAAATGGTGCACAATGGTCACATTCAACCCGATTTTGTTTGATGACTCAAGTGATAGTCAGGGTCTAACGTGTTTTCTTCGAAAGAAATGAACTATCCTTTCCCGAAATAGCCAACCAAAACCCTTAAATGGGACCCATCGAACGCCGAGACAGAGGGGCTACTAGGACTTCTAAGCTCAACAGGCACACAACGCCATGTGACTGTTCAACAAAATCTACATGGGTTTTTTTGTTTCCCGGAATCCGGATCACACCTTTGGTTCAAATGGTTCGAAAAGCCAAAAGTGTGTACTGACCTTCAGCCACTTTTTTCAACCTATGAATCGGCTAAATTGACTAAGCTTTCTATTGAACTTCATGGGGAAGCTTTCACTGAGTAGGAACTATGGAACAGGCTTATTTATGTCTGGTGGGCAAAAACGGCAGTTGGGAATTTGAAAGCAAAGAAGTCAAAGAGAGTCATATCAACAGAACAAATACAAAGGAGACAGGGCTGCTGATAAACTTTCTGCCATTGGAATGGCGGTCTCTTCCGGATCCCCCCTCCTCAGCTCGGTGGCCATGGACGCTCCATGTGATGTCTATGTATTAGACAGGAAATATAGTGATAGATCACGTATGTTCTGCCTTCGACAGAGCACCGCGACCGCGAGATGCCATGGTGCGATCCAAGACATATGTGATCAACTTTATAGAGGCTTACTCAAGGGTTGGGTTGCAAGATAGGTTTCAAGCTGAAATCAAAAATGTCATTTTCACCGATCGAGTAATTTTTCTGTTCTACATCCGCAATTGTTGACTCCACGTGGGCTCTTGCGCCATCCAGCTAACCGGTAACATCATGAAAAGTATCAAACCCCGTGGGGAATCAAGAAACAATGTACTCCTTATCCATTTTTCCTCTCAGGGTACGATTCGCCTCGAACGCCCTATGTAGTCCTCTTGAACATTAAGACTACAACTAGGGAGTGCGGGTGAAGTCCTGCGGAATACGACTCAGTGATCAATTCTCCTTCAAATTCTGCGTCGTTCACTTACGAGAGCTTCTTCCTTTAAGGGATGAGTAGAAGCCAACCTAACTGAATTAAGTCTCTCCGGCAGGCTCCAGAGGACACCTGCAATTTGAGGAGGGACTTAGTCAAGTTAGCGAGCCAACTGGCTTCGACTTCCGCATCTTGGTGTGTGCCAGTAGTATTTGCAAAGCAAATTGACAATTACAAGTGCGTAAATAACATTGTTATTTTTCTACTTCTCCTCTTCACCTCACCATAGAATCTCTCGAATTTCTGGTTTACATTTTGCCACAAGTTGTGGGACAGATGCCAAAGATCTGTTAGCCTTGTTGTTTGATCAAAACAAACAAATAGCAACATGGTCATCTGTAGCCAATATAAGCCAGTGAAGAGAGGTGCTTACAGTCAGTCCTTCTCATCTTTACTCATCGTCAATTTGTCAGTTGTACCATCATTTTCTGGTTTTAGAAGAAGATATCCTTGTGGCCTATTTGAGCCAGACCTTACAATGCTTTGAAGATGTATGCTTTGACCTGCCTCACTTCCGGTGTAGGTATGTGTTTGTGATATGACATCAACTGAAGGAGTTGAAAATTGTACCTTGCAAAATACAGCTGATTTGATAAGATCTTTCAAAACCACTCCCAGAGTGGAGCAAGCATCTGGTGGGGGTGAAGTGCTCTTGATTGTCTCAAGGGACTTACATACCATTCATTGTCCTACCATCAGCCATAAATGAGATGGAAAATGACATTTCCAAAAATATCAAAGTTGTCAATGTACAATCAATTCCATCCAACAAGGCCATAACTGAGATTTTCATTTGATTTTCCAATCAGCATTGTTCATTGATGGCTAGAATTTTAAGCAAAGCAAAAACCAATATGCTGGCAGAGGGTAGGTAAATTTATACTTTATCAGCAAGTTGAAATCCAAGATTCATGTTTTGCCTTAATATTTCAATTATGGAGACCACTTGATTTGGGCTGCAGCCTCAGGTGTGGTGCCAAAAGGACATGAGATGTGCCTACCTCACCCACCATATCTGTGTGGTAGTCATTTGTTGATAAACACACACCAATTCCTTTGAAGGGAAGTTGTATGTGCTTCTTAAATCACAAGATGGCTATGACTCTGAAGGAATAGCTAGTAATTAGCAACTAGAAGAGATATTAATCTCAATGACCAAAGTAAGCAAATGCAAACCTGCTTGAAGAGAGGAACAGAAATTCATAAGGAAAAAGAGAAAGTACAAAATGATTAACAGCCTTTATTTTTATATACCAGAGACATCATTCTAAGACAGCCACAGCAAGCAATCTGATTAGTAATGATATGACCTCATGATACAGTATTAGTAATGAGTAAGTAAAAGGTTTGATATGATATTAGATAGGAATATGTAAAGGATCAATATAAGATCAGATAACCATAGAATAGTCAAGATGTCATTCATACTTCAATTTGTTGATGGGCAAACACTACATAGACACGGTGACCCATACATAAGTTCAACCCCATAACCAAGTGTAGGTCACCTGGACATATTAACAAAGGCTATGACTGCTGAGAATGGTGCACCGTTCCCATGGAGGTGACCCTGGGCACCTCAACTTAATAGCCAGTGAGTCTTATGATCATGCTGTGGTTGACATGGGATTTATTGAAGTGTTTTGGAATTGTTGTGTTCAATGCTGGTATGGCAGAAATGGGTTTATGATGTTGTAGGTTTACATAGCAGCTTTCTTTATTATAAAGTAGCACTGTGCCCGTGGAGAGCGCCCCAGACGTTGGGGGCTCCAACAAGTACAAAGGCTTCCCTTTGTACTCTTGAGGGCCCCCGACGTCTAGGGCGCCCTCCACGGGCACAGTGTAGAGAGCAGGCCGGCATGCCCACAATAGGGGACCTGCATAATTGTTTCACCTGACTAATTTTTTCCACCTTTGCCAAGTTTAAAGACGTAGCAATATGTTAGAACCCTCTAGGCGTTGAGATGCAAGATGAGAGCGTAAAGTTCCTTCAGGTATGTAGATAGATTGCTACGTGAGGATTAGAAGAGTCTAATCCTCCAGACTACTAGCTAGAGAGTAACTCAGTACAAGCATATCTAAGTATAAGCATAAGGTAAAGCGCTCATAACAATCTCCCACCCGGAACTGTTATTGTTGGTCTAGCTTACACTTGCATGTCCACAAAGACTGAGGACTGATGCCATTTTGAACAAAGAACAAAAATTATTCAAAGAGAAGCAAAGATCATGCTTTTTTCAAGAAGATAGGTGGAGTTGAAAGCAAATATATATAATTCTAGGGATTAATTTTGAAGCATACAACTAATGATAAGAAAGCAGGTAGGTAGGATAGAGTTTGAGTTAATGAATAATTTGAGTGGAAGTAAGATGGGAAGGTCAAAGTAAGATGCAAAGGTGAAAGTAAAGTGGGAGGGTGGGATTAAGGTTGGAAGGTGATTGAAATATGCTGATGAAATGCCATGTTTCATAGTATGAAATTGAGAACAACTGCTTTTGATGAACACATACTTATGGCGTGTTGGTGCAAGCAAAAAAAGAAAATTTCAAAATAACAATTGACCAGCTTCATGAAAAAGCCTGGACATTTGACTGTTTGACAAAAGCATCCAAGCGCTATCAAAGTTGTGCTAAAAGCATATCAAAAAGTGAGGTTTTTATGGGACAAAATCAAAGAGATTTGATTAAGCATTTGTTGGCCAAGTTACAAAAGCAAATTTTGACAAAACAATCAAAAAGAGTCATGAAAAACTAGAGACATGTGAGTATATTACAAAACCATGAAAGTGCTTTTCAAGTAAACAATAGGAAGTATCTAAACATCAAAAAGGTACAAGGAAAAGAATGAGCTTCTCTTGGAATAAAGTCAAAGTGATTTGGTTAAGCATTTGTGGTTCAAGTGCATACCATGTTTGATTTGATAATTGTTGATTATGAACTGATTGATAGACACAAAGCGAGGGAACAAAAGAAGCTGCAGGAAACAGAAAACATTGGATACTAATAACAGGAACAGATGGACTTTCTGATAGGTTGTTTCAAGTTAGCTTTTTTTTATGTATGTTGACACTACAACAACTTGCCTGGCGTTGTAAATATGCATATTTTTCTAAAGCAGGACACCTTTTTAGGTGTCCTGAGTTAAAAATATGTTGGTTTTATGCAGATTTTCAGTGTTACACAGACAGACCAAAAAACTAATTAACAGGAAACTCAAGGACTGGGGAAAATCCATACAGGTACCTTGTACCTCTTTGATATCTAGATATGCTTTCTATGGATTGTTGTTTTTGTTTTTCTTTCTCTTTATCAAAACAGTTTGTATTATTGTCATCATTGTCTTAAGAATTTTGTTTTTCAATCAAGTGTTTCTAATACAAAACAGCTTAGGAATACTTTTCACAAGACTTCCAGAGTCCTATAATTTTGTAGTTTTAGAGAACTCTTAATTACAAGCTGGATCACTACAGTTGGACTGCATTATCCTGCAGGGAACTTTTCAACCCCATAGCCCAAAACCATATCTATCTGATGGGTATAGACAGGCCTGCTGTAAAAAGCATACCTCACACTCTTATTGGTGCCAAGATGCAGAATTCAAGAGAATAAGTTGTGCAACTTTGCCTCATTGATAATTCATGTGCATGCACAGCCTGGCACCTGAGACAGGTGCCATTCCTGGAACAATCCTTGAGTACATACCTGTGATATTGTGACAACTGAATCACAACACTGAAGAGACTACTGCAAAGCTTCTCAGCCAAGTCATCTCATATCACTGGACTTGTGGAACCCACTTTGTGCTAGACAGGAACCAAATGTATGTCATTCAACAGTCTTTGTATGTAATCTCACCACATGAAGGTGAGTGGCAATGAATTGGGCTGAGCACTTCTATCAAGCAGAGGTATATTTCAATGATTTGGGTACTTACCAAGTGTATTGTACTTCTTCATGGTCTTTGGAGGGAATTCATTTATAATTGTCCTTGCATACATTTGTACCTTTAAAGTTTCAGTTCTGTCTGTCCTGTGCTTTTAGCTAGGATTATTGATGGCGGAGGCTCTTTGAAATAGAAGGGCAGAAGGTTGGGTGGGAGGTCAGATTTCATTTTCAATGAGGTTCTATTTCTTGTTCATCTGAGATATGTGATACATGGATGATAGAAAAACTGGTTAAGGGCACTTGACTTCCTGACTTCCACTTCTTCTACATTCCAGAACCTAGTCTTGACTTATTTATATGCCACCTTTCCTTTCCAGTGGCATCATTTGTATAGGATTCCCAAGCTTGATGGAACTTCTGGGGGCTGTCGTGCCACCGGGCACCCCGGGATTCGTAATATACGCACTTTGAATCCAGTGCCTTCATCACAGTTCGAAGGTTACCAAAATCTATACACCCAAGCTAGTGAACAGAATCAAGCTTGGCAGCTGCATCACATGAGACGCATCCATTCGTGCTCATGGGTCAAATTGATCAAGCGTTTCTTACTTTCACTGACTTGCATCCCAAACTTGATCTAAAACGGCTTCACGTGCCATACTACATGCATCACCTGAAAGCCACTCGAAGCTATCGCCACGAGTGTGGTCTGAGTCATAAGGTCGAAGTCATTTGCAATCATATATCAAGTCTCAATCTTACAAAGCAGTCTACGGATATAATGGAACCTATATCTCAAATTTTTGAACTCTTCAGGTACTATTTGGAAGGGAGGCAAATGAATCGAAAGGACTGGGTTTTCAAAGATGCAAATGTACGTGCAGTGATCTTGAGTCTCATTCGAAATGAGGCCTCGTCAAAATTTTCCTCTGATCGAGTCGATCATTCAATGCATTCTATGTCTCGGTTACCGCACTGCCTCCAGAGTCTCGATTGAGGACACTGAATTTCCTCGGATGACCTTACGGTTGTAGATGTAGATGGTGAGGTAAGAAACACGATTCGATAATCAGACAAAGCTCCATAAAAATCAATTGAAGTCGAAGCGAGTCCCGATACGAAGATGCTTACGACAAGGCCCATCTTTCGCTTTTCCCCACCTTCCAGATTCTCTTCTTGAGCCTCGTCTAATACTAGGTTGAGGAAGATATCAAATCCACGTAGAACACCTGAGAGCTTTCGATTTCCTTGAAGGTTGAGGAACAAGCGCTTGTCCATGTACTAGAGACCCATTCAAGATATCAAGTGAGTGCGCCGTGACGACAAACGGGTAAAAAAGACGCAAGAGGATCGAAACATCAGCCCACTATGGCGAAACGAGATCTAGTTACGTCAAGAATTTCTAATCACCTTCTTTAGTTCGGGTTGGGCGGCTTTGGACATCTTTCTCCTTTCTGCGATCAATCGAGGAGAGTACAACTGTTCGTGGTTCGTGGTTGGTGGACTAGTGCTGCAGTGGGAAAGCAGCGAGATATCAGCTTACATGTGAACCCCTGTGATTGAGTCGCGCGTCAATTCACTACATCCTACACACTACTGTCAATGTCGCGATTTTCGACTATCCCCAGGGTTCACAGGTAGGACTCTGACCTTGACATGTTGACAGCTGGGCATATGCGGTCCATGTTTTATGTACTGTATGTGAACGCAAAGTTAACTAAGTCCCCCCTTGAGCTGTACCAGCCCGCTCAAAGAAGGGAACGGCACGCGCATTTGAAAAGATCACTTCGAAGTTCGAGCATGAAAGTGTGGCAAGAGGTGGCGAACATGTCACCGATGCTTGAAGGGCAAAGATCCAGGACCCAGATGTGCGAAAGAAATCCACCACTTTGCCGTGTTGTTAACTCATGCAAATGACATTCATTTGGTGATCGATCGAGCTGAGCGCACGCATGATGTTCAGCAGAAATGATTTGAAATGCAAGCCTTAACTTGCATACCCTCAAATTACATAGGATTATGGGAAAAGGCATCAGTGGCGAAATACCTCGAAATACTCGAAGCTCAATCCTGACGAGATGGATAGGTGAATAGAAGGTGTGAAAGTGTCAATTTCGAGGCGAGGTGCAGGGATGGTAAGTCTGCTGTAGGAGATGACCAGTGAACATTTCTACCTCTCTTCACCAAGCCGGCCAGAGCCGCAGGACCAATAGCCACAAGAACTCAAAAATCGATCATTGCGTCAAAAAACTAATTGACTCCCATCCGAAAAGCATACCAAATACAAGATCCGATACAAAGAGAAAGAAGGCAGGAGAACCCTGGTTGCATAATACTAAAACAACAAAATTGATGGTACATATGATGACAGCTATGAAGTACGAGATAAGATGAAAAGAGATTGCAAAGAGAAAAGAAAAAAGAAAAGATGCCAAGAAAACGAGCCACATAACGAATGTATCAAATTGATAGAAAAAACCGATGAGTGAATGTGAGCAGATTTTTTTGATGTTTTATTTTCTTTGTGATCTGTTTACCTATATTAACAAAACTAACTTTTAAGAATGGAATTCATAGTCCAAACTTGTTGAAGACGTATCGAAGAAGAAAGAGGATAAAAAATCAATTTGCAGGCTAAGAAATGAGGAAACGCGAATCATACGAAATATCAAAAATCAGCAAAGGTCAAGAAAAAATCGGGTGTAGTTAGATGACAGAATTCTTTACACTTACGATCATCCATGCAGAATCCTCACCCAACAAGTTTGGGTGATTGTTCGAGAGCACCGACAATCGCCTTGGTGCACCGGCCTCACGAAGACGTTCCATTGCAATATCTACACTTGTAACCCTTGGAGCCGCCCTCTCTTCGCCATCGTCGGTCTCGCCATAGGAAACAACTCTTCGAGCTCTCGCAGGTTCTTCCGCAAAGGTAACACGCTTATATCCACGAGGAGCAGCAGGAAGTTCGGTAGACTTGGCACCAATCAAGCTTCGTTTATGGATTAATAGGGAGGTTGGTTTGGGGTCAGAAACTGTTCGACGACCAGGAGGCTGGTATACAAGTGACTCGGTACGCGGCTCCTCGGCCACCGACTCGACTTGCGCAGTGTTGGCAGCCTTGGATTCAAGAGCGGGCGAAAATGCTTGTGCGTTGGGTCTTAAAGTCGGTGCAGATCTCCAGCTACTTGCTTCGGTTCGAGCTTGGTCTGAGGCGGGGGTATTACTAGTAGGTAGTGAGATTGGAGGAAGAAGTGTAGAGACCTGTCCGTGTGAAAGAGGGACTGCCTGGGCGAGTCCCAGACTTTGGGAAGCACTCTTCTGATAAAGCGCCATCAAAGCAGCTTGCTGTTGAAGTAAGAGATGACGTTCTGCCAAGAGAGCATGCATGTTGAACGGAATTGTGGATGCAGGCTGCATACCATTCGTAGAGAAATGCGAAGACGGTGACGTAATCGGTTGACTGGAATAACCACCCAACAACATAGCTTCATATTGACCAAGAGGTTGGTTTGGTGTCGCAGGATTATTGCGGGCAAGAGCTGGAAGTAATGGACGATAAGCACTGTTGAAGCCAGGGAGGAAGGTTTGAGGCGAGGGGTAATTCCAAGCTAGGATTTGATCAGTCGGAGCGACGTGGCCGTGATGGACCGATTGGTTTGGGCGTGAGGAAGGCTGAACCAGACTAGGAGTGGAGGCTGTACCCGCAGGCTTTGTGGAAGTCACTTGTGGTAAGCTTGCTACGCCAACGTCACCTGTGCCAGGAAGTTTGACCTTGATTGGCTTGGTTAGTAAACCGTAAACACCAGAAGCTGGAGTCGCTAGGCCGCCAACGGCAGCACTGATGGTTCCTGGGGTCATCGGAGATCGAATTGCTCGGTGCCCAGATCCTCCCAAAGGGGTTTCGGGGCTCTCAAGGAACCCAGCAGGAGCTGGATGATCGAAAACCAGATAAGTATAGTTCATAGTGAATCGTCTTTACACGATGGGAGTCGCAAGTTAGATCTACTCACAAGGTACACCCTCCCACTTAGAACGATAGGTCTTGACAGGAAGAGCACCTGCTTTAAACAACTTGTAGCTGGTCTGACGACTGGGCAAGAAAAAAAGTACGTCGATGAATGAGTGAGTAAAGTCACAATCATCTTGTTGTGACCGCCAAAGAAGTTGAGGACATACCTAGCTTGAACAATGGTGAACTCCGCCCCCATGACAGGTCTTCCACCAGGCCCAGTGACGTACGAAGCAGAATAGCCGTTCGAGGTCAGGTTGAGAGTGTATTCGACTACTTCTCCCTTGGCTAATGACTTGAACTCTTGGTCAGAGTACAGATCAGTCCAGTGAATTTTGACTGGTAAACGAAAGCACAATGATCAGAGCTTGAAAGATATAACAGCGATTCGACGTGCTGAGAAATTCAAAATGAAACTCACCATCATACGGGACTTCCTCCAAGTCATCATCAATCAAGAAACCGACACCTTTGTCGCAGTTGTACATCTTGCAACGACCAACTCTTCTCTGGCCTTCCTTGGCACCGTTGTGGCTAATCAAACCACGAGGAGGAGCTCGTCCACCTCCAGAAACTTGGATTCTCCCATGAGGCGTGCTACCAATCGAAGGAGAGAGTTTAGATGGAAGAAGCGGAGTGTGAACGGCGGGCGTCTCGCGTGTTTCAATCTTCCTGACACTGTGGTCGACAGGAGCAACTGAGACGGGGGCGACTGAGCTCTTTCCGTTGGCAGCCTTGCCTTGAGGCCAATTTTCACTAGAAATGAAGGGGGTCTGTGGCATAGGCCAAGCTTCTTCCTCTTCACTGCTGACTTCGCCAGACGCACCGGAGCCAGCAGCACTTCCGTTACTGACCACGCGAGTGTTGGAGGCCTGCGCATCGAGTGGTTGGAAAGGAGTCTTGAGACCCGCGGCTTCACGCCAAGCTACGTTTGATGGCTGAACATTGGTCGATGCAGTTGGCGCAGAAACGTGAGCAGTAAAAGTTCCGTTTTGAGGCCTGGCTACCATACCTCTGACCGAGAGTGAGTTGACATGAGAAATGGGCGATTTAAGATGGACAATAGCTGGTCGTAGGCTCGTAGGAGATCGCTTCACATGGTGGCTATCGAATGGAGACGGCGGATGGGTAGAAGCAGAGGAAACATACAAGGGGCTGGAACTCGGTTGTACACGGTTGGGAGTTGACTTCGCCGCAGGTGGCTGGAAGGAGATCTGGCGCAAAGATGAAAGACTTTCTTGTGCAGTTTTCACAGATGGACGTGGGGTCAAAACTTGATCTTGGATGAGGTTCTGACTGTCGGTGGCTGAAAGATGAGGTGACGCTATTATTCAAAGCAGGTAGAGTATGAGTACAATGGTTCTGAAGGCTAGACTCAAAACAAAATTGAAAGCAGATAAAGTATGGAACGCATGGAAAACGTACAAGTTTCTTCGTGTGAGGGAATCTCTCCGGTAGGACCATCCAAGAAATTCAACGTGTCAGTGTGCTCAGTGAGGCCCCGGTGCAGAATTGGTGTCCCAGTGACGCCGTGGCTCCAGGGAGGGTTGTGAGCATTTCTGAGCTCGGTAGCGCCTTCACCTGAATCGATAAAGGAGTGAGTCGAAAAATCGGCGGCAAGAGAAGCCATGGAGGTTTCGCCACTAGCATCGCTGCTAAGATGAATAGAGTCTAATCGGGTGTGGCGATCAGAGGCATGATGAGTAGTCGAATCGTGATGTTCTTCGCTCGATGCGGGCGAAGTCACAGTCTCCGAAACAGAAAATATGGCATTGGCCATGGTGTCTATGGGAAAGACACCGGGCTCGGATTCGAGTTGTTGAGAGGTAGAATTAGACGCCGTCATCATCGAAATGTCTTGATCGATAATGTTCGAGATGGGGAAGCTGACAATATAAGAAGTCAAGCCAAAGGAATGGTAGATTCACGAGATTGTACGATCAGGTTAGAGAAACAGTTCAACAGAATGAATATCAAATAAGGACCAGATGATTGAAAGGGTATCCAGAGAAACCTGGAGAGTGACTGTTAGCGAAATAAATAAAATAGAAAGACAGGTGCGGTGCTTGTTGAGGGGAAGAAGACGTAGTAAAACAATGAGAGCAAGTTGATGGGCTATTATCAACTTTTTGAAGACCACCCTTGGTAGGCGTGTGCCTACGATAACAGAGAGAGCGGAAGAGAAATTATCCTAAAATGAAGAAAACAGGTCGGTCAAAATTAAAAATTCAACGGCATGAGATGAAGAATTGGGTCGAGCTTGAGTTTAGCATCATCGCAGTGTTTTTTTAAGGTCTCATGTTCTTTCCAATGACTCATGTCACTATAACAGGAGTCCAACTCTCTCCTTTCATTGAGCGGCTGGTTGAAAACCGTTGCTTCCAGGCACATTCAGGACCCGACCTCATGACTGTAGCCAACCTGAGTTCAATGAATCGGTGACATTCATCATGCATGCTTGTCGGTTCCGGAGGTCACTTGATACCTGGTTAAATGCTGGCTGGGTGTAGGAAGTATGAGCAAAGAAGGATATTGATAGCGCTTTGAGCAATCTACGCCATCCTGCCAATGCGAGTCCATGTTGTGAGAAGCTTATGCAATCTTCGCTGAATGGCCACGCCGCCGGGCTCAGACCATTCATTAGTGAGGAATAATGCCATGACAGCTCGAGTCAGCCATCTTCAGCGCAAATGCCGTGAGGCTAAGCACGGCATGTAGACTTTTATCTTAGAGTGAACCAATCTTGAGGGCGATTCTAGCGAAACTCAACTTCGACTTGTCAAACTGACGTCTGGGTTGGAAAATCGATAATCAAATCGTGGAATGAGAGAACAAATCAAAGATTGAGATGGTCCTGGCATTTGGTAGTAGCCTTGAATGTAAAAGTTACAAGCCTATGTACATGCCACTCATTTCTTGGCCGATGTTTATGCGACTGCTGAATCAATTATTAGCGGGTGTTGTCGCAAACGTTCGTGGTAGACATTTGGGTCGAGGCACCGGCTGGTAAAGGAAGCCCGCAGTGCCATCCACAGGAGTGTTCATAGGGGTAAGCCGTCCTTGAAGTCACCCATGCCGGAGACATACGGGTGCTCACCTGAGTCATCTCTCCGAATCGCTTCTTCACAACGGACACTTCGAGAGGCGTTGACAGGAGCATCCATGTTTGTTTATAGGGCAGGCCATGAAGCTGGTTGCGTATGTAATATGTATCCATTGTCGGACATATTCGGGCACAATCGGTGGGGATGAGTTAAGGAGTAGACAAGTAATCTGCCCATCACCCTTCGAGGCCTGCTCACGATGACCAGACTTTAGGGGGGACATGCATGCTAAATTCTCTGCTCAATGAAATCGAAGTAACTTCCCCTGATGTCCAAGCGCTTTGCTTCCTGATAAAGTCTGTGCGGAAATTGGGAGGGGATATCTGAGTCTCAAGATTGTTCAAGAACTTTATTTCTTTCTACTTGGATGATTTCATCCTCGACTGTGGTGAGAATACCATCCCAAGAGATGAAGAGTTCGGAGAGCGTATTGACCTGACGGTGAAAGACCGTAGAAGATATCTCATCAGATCAGGCGACCATCAGCGGTTTTCGGCACGTTCCTTTCTAGTCCGGCATTGGGTTTAGCAGTGAAGGAAGTCTAGCAACTCACATAAGAATCATAGTGTGACATGATAGAGGTGACCCTGCTTTCCATGGTCGTGATGCGCTCGATTTGGAGTTTCACCTCCTCCGTCAGCCTCTTCAAATCATCCTTCATAGGACCACCATCTGAGTCGATATTAAGCCAATTGCAGTGTCAGTGTCCCGGCGTGGTGATAAGAAAACCGGTAAACATATCATTCGAAGCAATTCAAAGATCAAGCAATACCTGTGAGCTTGCCCGAATCTAGAAAACCTCGACTGTTCAACATATCGATTTCTCTTAAATCCTTTTCGAGGGTCGTAAGTTCTGTCTCGCTCTCGAACACGAGACTAAGCTTTTCATTGGCAGTTAATCGTTGATCCTTTTCCAAAATCGACTGCGCCTGCTGATAGATAGGGTTGGGGATGTGTAGGAGTGGTTCATTCAGATCGTCTCAATAAGGCGCGCCCGATATCAGTCCATACAATATTCATAACAATGATCGAGGAGGGCTCATTTTTCACTCACAACTCTCAACAAATCGGCGAACAACGTCGTTATGCTTGGCATGTAGTACGTCGTTCAATTTCTTCACAACCGTCTCGGCGCGTGTGCCAAATTTTTGACGATCTGAACCACCGACACGAGCTTGGAATGCATCCGATGATGATACAGAGCCTGCGATGATGGTTTCCAAAAGCCTTATCCGAAGATCGATGGCCAAAAGTGCATCAACTTCAGGCGCTTCCATATTTCGTGCGCTGAAATCTTGATTCTGAAGCAGAGCCGGCTCGTGCGCTTCTGTGAGAGCCGCTGTTACTGAAACTGAGCCTTCTATGAGACCCGCTGTGATCAAGTCATCGGTTTCTTTAGAAGCAGGAGTGAGATGAATTGGATCCTCTGAATGGTGCTCATTGAGCTCTCCGGATGGGGTCACATCCATAAACACGAAAGTACGATATTAAGTTGAGGATGAACGCTGTGAAACAACAATAAGTCTGAGCTGATGAGGGTTGGATGCTGTCATGCTGTCATGCGAGCTGGACGGCTTCACGACGGAAGCACTCGAGCCTGACCCGAGGCAGAAAGCTCGACCCGATGACAGTCCTTCTGAAGCGGGCCCTTGGAATAACTAAGGCATAAAAGCTGGTGACACGTAGGGCTGTGCCCCGGCCCTGAAAGTTCAGGGCCGGCCCCGGGGCGCGGCCCGGCCGCGACGAAACCCGAGGGCCTTCAAAAATGGTTCAGGGCCAGGCAGGGCGCGCCCTGAACTTGAGGCCTAGGGGCCAGGCAGAGTCAGGCTTAGGTTTTGGGCACAAAAAGCATGAGTTGTATAGCTTGGGATGATCGGCAGCCCCGGTGCCCGACCCGCCCGAGCGCTCTCAGGACGCCTTTGTGAGTAAAACACGTGACGTTCTGCGGCCCCGGGGCGCGGACCGCGAGCTCTCCAGAGGTCGCCGGGCAGACTCGGCCGGGCGGGGCCGGGTCCGGGTCGCAGCCCTAGTGACACGTGATCACCCTGCTTTGATCTTTGAGATTGATTTGGATATTTCAAGAGTTGTTTTGCAAATGAACACAAGAGTTGCCAACAAAATGCAAAAGAGAACGGTTGAAGTTGATGGTGATATAACATGCGAGGAAATGCAGCTTCAGCTCTGCAGTTTCGTTGGTTTCAGCTGATCACATAACAGGTCATTCCTCGCAAGTGTATCCAGAAGAGCTTCAATATCAGTTTGTATTCTAATTCTTTAATTCTTGTGACTTGCACACTGGAGTTGAGGGTAAGATTCGGGTACATATGCAGCTGGGGTCTTGATCTTGTGGATGTGTTAGACAACATGAAGGCTACTGGTTTTGAAGAGGCTAAGATATGAAATAACGTGAGCCAGCAAACACCAATTTTGGACGTAACACAGACTCAGACTATTGCGTTTGAGAGTTGATACCAGCAATGACCTCGACCATAGTATGGCTATCAGTCTGGGCGAAGAACTCCTAAAGAAACGATATTGATAAGCCAACAGGGAATATCCGCAGGAATTGCTAAGGGTTGCATAGCTGCATAGTTGTCTCAATGTGTGATATAAGTCGGCGAGATATGCCCACTCCAAACAACTGTGTCCGAGACTGGGGGATAAAGAATGTTACTGACACTTGGATATTGCGAATGTCGACTCGATAGCAATGCGTGACAACGAGAGGTAGACCACAGTGGAAGTCTCAGCGTAACAATTCTTTGCTCAGACTCCTACCTCCTTGAGAACAAAATAGGCGTTTGAAGGGAGCCTAAGAATGGCACATTCGATGTCTGCCTCTCTTATCAAAAGGCTTGATCAAGCTTCATAGTTTGCTCATACACCCTAACACTTACACAAAATAAAATTTTCGTCTAGTCGCCTTTTGCGCTTGACTATTTTTACGTTCATTTCACACAGTCTAGGAATCCACATATCAACCTGTCTCTGTCTCGCCTCATCGTCTCTCTTCCCTGAGAAAGTTGGCTCCGTGCCAGCCGCCACCTGGTCAATAATGAAGAACCCTCCGGAGCTCAGCGTTCGCAAATCTGTGATTATCATTCTCGTTTGCGTCTTAGGTTTTATCATCAGTGTCAGCCTCGGTCTCTCTGCGTTCACAATCTGAATTTCGCGGTGTTATGTTTCGTGACTGACATCAAATTTATCTTCCCAAACTCATGTAACATAGAACATGACCCAATTGGCCATCAACGTGATGTCGCCAAGCATCCAGGATGATCTTGGTATGTCCAATTATTGCTCGTCAATCGTCAAGATGTTATAGGTCTGACCTGGGCATGCTGATATTCCGCTGGACGCTGCGTCTTTTCTTCTTGGCGTGTGTTCTTTACAGATATCGATTCTACAAATATTCAGTTGATCTCCACCAGTTTTTCGCTTCCATATGGTGGGACACTCTTATTGGCCGGTAGACTAAGTGACATCGTCAGTGATCTCCATCTGCGCTTGCCAATGTCTCCCATTCATCCGACCAACCACACAAATCACTGATACTTGAGTGATTTTCTCCCAAATGCGCTACACGTCGGAATTTCACGACATAGTATGGTCATAAATTCTGTCTCCTGATAGGATTGACCGTCTTTGCAGGGTTTTCCCTGGCGAGTGCTAAAGCAGATTCAGCATTGGAACTGGCTGTGTTTCGCGCGATACAAGGTCTCGGGGCTTCTGCCATCTCTCCTGCTCTCCTTGGAATCCTTTCCCGCACTTTTGCTAAGGGTTCAAAGATGAGGACAGAGGGTATCGCTAGTTTTTCTGCTGGTTCACCTCTTGGCGCTTCGATTGGACTCTTGGTGGGGGACTGGATGACACAAACCACTCGGCCTGGATGGAGATCGGTGAGCGGCTTGTTCATCCAAAAGATAATGATGTTTACTCATTCAAATTCTCCGAAAAACTCCCCAGTTCTTTTATTTTTGCCTAGCCCTCTCAGCCTTGGCGGTTGTCCTCTCATATTTCATACTGCCATCAGACCCACCTCGAGACCCCAAAAAGAGCATCAAAGATGTCGACTGGTTTGGTGCCGCACTGTTGATGAGTGGCCTGGTAGTGCTTGTCGTTTCCATGTTGTTTTTTCCTCGCTATGGTTGGAAATCTCCACAAATGTTGGTACCCCTGATTTCCGGACTACTCTTGCTTTCGGCTTTCCTTGGCTGGGAGATGTATGTCGAGCGGAGAGGCAAGAGCGAGCCCTTGGTCCCACTCTCTTTGTTCGACAGAAGGTATTTCCTGGCATCACAAGTCATCGCAGGACTGGTCTATCTGGCTTTCACAAATCACAATTATTTCATGAATTACTAGTTCGTAATACATCTCCTCCGTATCAGAATTGACGTGCTTCTCAGAACTAAGAACATCTTCATTTGACAAATCAGCTTTCAAACCTATCTCAAGCTCTCCTTGTTGCAAAATCTTCTCCGCTTCCTTCCATTGTGAGTCCTCTGAGGCTTTAATAGAAGGATGGCAACACCATGAATGCTAAATTACTCTATTCAACTCCTTCAAAATTTGAAATGGTCAAGGTTGATTGTTGGTTTGGCGTTGAACCTAATCACTGGTCACCTGACCAATATCTTGCCTGCTCAAGCTATAATCATCGGAGGATGCGTAGCCAGCCTGGTGAGACTATACCTTCAAGAACTCCTATCATCGGCTTCTTCATGATGGCAATGCTTAACATTTACCCAAATCAAACTTGAGATTCTGACTTTGGGATTTGTGGAACAAAATACAGACTTCTTGTGCTTTGTCAGCTTACATGAGCCCAAATGAAAGTTATTGGAAATACAATTTCGCAGCCATAGTTCTCTCGGTGATAGGTGCCGACTTTGTTGTTAGTGATTCCTTTCCTCGTGCATTTTGATTTCTCATCTGAACCCCTCAAACGACATTGGTGGAAAACCCGATATCTGAAATCCTTAACTGCAAATATCCACATGCTCCTCTTCAGTTTTCTGTAGTTGCAATGTTTGGATCAAGGATCTCAAGGAGTAATGAACAGGGAATTGCAGGCGCCGTACTTCTCAGCTTCACTCGTGAGTTTGCCTATATTTTCTTCTTTTTGCCGGATGCATTGTTGAAAATGAACATAATTGATCCATGTGTGGCTTGAATCAATCAAATTTCAGGTGTATTCAGTGTAATTGGGTTGGGGATTGCAACAATTGCTCAGGTCAGAAATACCAAACTGGTAGTGCACCCTCTTTCAAAGACTCTGATACCGTCTCGCAATCTTACAGGGGGAATTGACAGTCTCAACAAGCAAGGTTTTGGGTGTGAAGATCTCAAAAACATCTATTGTATGTCATTTGGACTCCCTTAGACATCACATGTGACTGATGCAAGTGATTCTACCATTGTCAAAATCATGTAGTCTAGTGCCCCTCCTGCAGCCTATTGGCATGGATTACAGGCTGCATTTACAGTGTTCTTTGCTAGCGCAATGCTTGGTCAGTTTAAATTGAAACTCCTTTCAATCAAGAGTCAGTAATGCTGAAAGATCTTTTATCTTCTATTAATTGCAACATTCACTTATTTCTCAACTTAATAAAAACTCAGCAACTATAATAGCATTGACTTCCCTGTGGGGTATGGGTTATGTAGGAGCACACAGAGCAGAACCAATTACTAAGCCATTTCAAGAACTCAAGTCTGGAGAGGAGGCAACACCCATAGTCTGAGTATTTTGACAGCTTGGAATGGACAATATGGGATATGGATGCAGGACAAAAATAGACAGGAATGGATTTTCTACATCCATTCATTTGGACTACATTCTTTATTAAATAAATAGCCTATATGGTTTATTGACACTGGTGGCCAAAGGCACAACATCATTGGTGAGTTCCACTGAGACCCAAGACACAGTGGATGAGATCAAGGGTGACCTTGGGGCCAGGGGAAAATCTGCCCCAGTCCCAGCCCAAGAAAAGAGTAGATATAGACTGTGAAGATTTCCCATCTTCACCTTTCCGAACACCTCTGCTCACTGAGACACCTCAAGTTCAAATTCATAAATCAACAAGAAATATATAGATTTCATTTTTAAAAACCGCCCACCCCACCCTACAGCAAAACTGTTAAAGAAAGAAAACAAGGGGAAAAACAGAAGATAAACTTTTGTAAATAGATAAGAGTTAGATGTAGTAAGACACAGTAAGCCAACATTAAGGAAGGAGAAGAAGAAACCATGATAGTAGAGACAGCGGTTCCCATGGGCCACCCAACACTGTAAACATCATTCAACTTCCCCAATTTGGAAGAGGAAAATGATTAATAGTACAGTTTGTCATAAAAGAATCTAATACTGCACACCTGAGCCATTTTACCCACACTACATATGTGCAGCAAGCTAAGTCAATAGTTGTCTATCATGTACATACAGGTCTGCTCAGTTTTTTGCCCATCAGAATAGATAAATCACATGTTATACCACATGGAACTTTTTTGACTTTGAAATAATTGTCCCAAAAATTCACTACATATAATTCTATGGCTGCTCAGGCAATATTGTTGAAGCTATTTCTTAGTAACAGAAAGGGTGTTACATGCAGTTGAGTTGATGAGATCTAGGGCTGTGTTGGAGTATATTCATATCTACATGCGTAATACTAACAACTCTAAGGTTATGTTTCTGTTTTAATTGCTTAATTACTTATGTCATGAATATATCCATTTTGTAGTCATGTGATTTAACCTAACCAAAGATTGTATCAGTGTTCTCATATATCTTGTTTCCTGTTTCGAAAGCTTTTCTTATTCATTCAAGCTTTCTACTTTTACAAACTATAAACAATACCTCATCCCTAACATCTTTCAGTGTGCTTTCAAGATATCCTAGACTGAGTTTATTTGTTTCTGTTTGTTTCTGATCAGGATTCTCTGAATCCTTTAGGCTGTGACCTGGGCCCGACCCTGGCCAACCCGATTAGCCCAAAGGGTTTCTCAAGGCACTCAGGGCTGGGCCCAGGGCCACAAAACCTAACGTGATGAGACGTACAAATGGCCCTGTGGGCGTCTCAGCCTGCCGTCCTGGCCGGGTTGCCAAAGAAAATCCCACCTCAGATCCAAGCTTGACTCAACTAAAACTAAGTTTCAGTGACAGCCAACATACCTGCAAAAGAATCATTGCCCAAACATCGTGTCATCAATCATGTGTCACCATGCCCTCTGCCCCTGTCACCCGTTTATCTACTCAACTGCAGTGCCAATCCTCTGGTTCTGCAGCTAACCCTCTCAGTCCATCTACTTCAAATACCATTACCCCATCCAATTCCATTTCCAAAGTTGCCTCCAATACTACTACTGCTGTTTGCTCCTCGTGGGTGTGGCAGTACTTCATCCAGAGAACGGACGAACTTGGCTTTTTGAAGAACATTTGTCAAGCAAAAGAAGGCTTCATTGATTGTCATCCTACCTCCAACACAGACCAATCACCACCTGCAGCGATCTGCAACCTGGCCATGGCTGTCGACAGAAACTCCAGCACAAAGTCGATGGCTTGACACCTTTCTCAAGCTCATCATATCTGCAAGCCACACTCCCAGCTTTCTATGTTGATGGCAAAGTACAAGGTGTAAGCTTTCTTTCCTTCTTGTTATCTTGTTATCTCTTTCTTCATTCCTTTTTTCCCCTCGGTTTCTATCTTTCTATCTATCTTTTTTTTTCAGTTTCTCACTTACTCTATCAAATCTTCAGGTCAAACCTCTCAACCAAGCCAATCTCAAGGAACTGCTCATCCGTCTGGTTGTCAACCGCAAGCTTCCGGTGTCTCTTGTCAATGCTGCAGAGTTTTGAGCACTCTTCTCAATGATCAACCCGGAATCTTATTCTCTGTTGTCCAAACAAACTTTGATCTCCGATGGAATTGTGGACAGCTTTCAAACCACTCGAGCTATCATCTTGAACGTCCTTTCAGAGGTTCAACATATCAGTCTCACCTGTGATGGTTGGACATCGCCTCACAATCTGGCAATTCTAGGAGTCACCGCCCATTGGATCAACAATAATTTCAGATGTGTGGCATTACTTTGGCTCTAAAACCCATTGACGGTCCCCACACCGGCTCAGTTTACTCAAGCAAATCTTGGACGAATTCAAAATCACTGATCACCTCTACTGTATCACCGCCAATAATGCGTCCAATAACACCACCATGGGGCAGGCACTTTCCTCATTGATTCCCCAGTTTGACACAACCCAGCACCTCCATGGATGTGTTTCCCATGTTATTAATCTAGTTGCCAAGGGTGGCATGGCAGTATTTGATCAAAAGTCAATCAGGATCACGAAGTGATCCATTAAAGCACATTACGTGTTAGGACGTTATAGCACTACTAAGGGCATTATTATTTCTTTTTCTCTTTCACATCATGCCACTGAGTAGAGTTCATTAGGGTCTTTACTATATAGAACCCATTGTCTAGACTACTTGTTCTCCTTTTCCCTATCAAACTCAAACTCTTTTGTGTGTAACAATCTCCTCCGCAGATTGTTGTTTCCTTTTGATCAACTAGTTCTCTTTCACATCATGCCACTGAGTAGAGTTCATTAGGGTCTTTACTATATAGAACCCATTGTCTAGACTACTTGTTCTCCTTTTCCCTATCAAACTCAAACTCTTTCGTGTGTAACAATCTCCTCCGCAGATTGTTGTTTCCTTTTGATCAACTAGTCTTCCTCCATAAGACTCTAATTGATCTTAATCCTATTCAGGTGTTAGTTTATATTGTTGTTATGTTTATTTTCTCTTATGATGATAATCAAACTCAAACTCTTTCGTGTGTAACAATCTCCTCCGCAGATTGTTGTTTCCTTTTGATCAACTAGTCTTCCTCCGTAAGACTCTAATTGATCTTAATCCTATTCAGGGAAAGCAAAACTTCACAAACCTGTGTTTCTTCAAGTCTTCTCCAGCGCCAATCAACGCTCTTGATCCTGCAATACCTCAATGTCATTCTCATGTACCTTTATTCATCAAGCCTACTCCTAATGCCAAGATAAGAAGCATCCTCACTTGCATCAGAGGCTTCCACACTTGTGTCAAACACAGTAGCCAACTCAAGATGGCTCTTGACCAAGCCGTCTCAAGCTGTGCTGTCTTGAAACAAAAGGTTGGTCTAGTACATGAAGTCTCAACTCGCTGGTCATCAATGCACAATTCTCTTCAAAGATTTGTATACCTTAGAGTTGTTTTAGAATATCAATTCAATGGTAACCCTGAACTCAAGGATTACAAACTGGAAGATGAGGAATGGGACTTGGTGGAAAATCTGGTTCAATTTCTATCACCTCTTGCTCATGTCACTTGCAAAATTGAAGGAAATCAATACCCAACATTCTCTTGTGTTATGCCAGACTACCAATGGTTGGTTGAACAACTTGAGGGGGGTGAGCTCTTTTTGTTCTTTTGTCTTTTTCTTTTTGCTTGGTTGGTTTTGTTTGCTGATACATCTCACATTTTTTACAGGCCTGGGCTGACCCTAACTGCAAGGAGCTAAAGGTTGCCATCATGCCTATGATCAAGAAGATCATCCAATATCAGGAGGCCACCCAAAAAAAATCAGTTTCTATCTGTTCTGTGATTCTCAACCCTTGTCTTAAAATTATGGGTATCTCAAGATTTACTTGATTATTTCACGGAACAAGTTCGTAAATTCAAACCAGCTGTTGATCCCGAAATTGAGTCGTCAAAAATGAGGAAACCTTTGATCCTGATCGACCTCGTCACTTCATCAAACGCCACAAGTTGGTACCAGTTGAACTTGAACACAAGGTGACTGAATACCTGACTGCGCCTCAAGAAGATGAGATCTGCAACCCCCTCAACTACTGGGACCTTCACAGACGTCATTGGCCTAATCTGGGACGCATGGCGAAGGCAATGCTGGCAGTTCCTGCCACCAGCGCTCCTACTGAGAGTTCTTTTCTAACACTTTGAGAGTCATGAGTGACCATAGAGCACCTTTTACTCCCCTCAATCTTGAGGCTCAAGTTGTCTCAAGAGTTGGAAGAAGGAGTTAGCCAAATGATTTCCTTTTCATTATCTATGTAGCTCTGATAGTAGTTTTACTTATTTTACTTCAAAGTTTACAATTATGCCCCTTTTTTGTTCTCTAAGTTGCTCTGATACTTATTTACTTGATACTGATAGTTATATGCTTTACAAACATGCTGAAATGAAGTCTTATGGTACCTTTGCCCCTGCCTGACCCTGACCTGACCGAGCCCTGCCTCAGGGCCAAAAATCTGGCCCTGCCCTGAGCGAGCCGAGCCCATTTTGAAGGCCTTTGGGTCGCATCAGGTCCGGGCCTGGTCGCGCGGTGTAGTATTTAAAGCTCAACAAGAGCTTTACAACACCTAAGAAGGGATAATCTACTACGTGTAATATAGTAGAAGTTGACTAAAGACTGCCTTCTTCAAAGAAACCAGCACAAGGGCACTTGCTGACCACTTTGTGATAACAGAGAAAAAGATAAAAAGCACCAGAGAAATAAAGCAATGCTGTTGTGTAGTATTATTCCCAGATTTTAAGCGCAAAAAAGTCCACACACTATGTTATTGCTAGCAATACTGTTGTTAAGTATTATTCCCAAATTGACTTATAGTCTTTAACACACGTAAATAAATTTCTCCTTACTTTGAAGGGGCAGATTTAAGTGATCTTAGTACAAATATAGTAAATAAATGATGATTTATAACACTACAACAAAGGTATAAGATGCAGAAAAAAGAACAAAAATCCCAAAATCATCAAGGAGTACTTATATCCACATGTAAAAACCTCTACAATAGTCAACAGCCTCAAAAACCAGCCAAATCCGCCTAAAGAACCCTAAAAACCATGTGATGACACAATGTAATGATCTTGTTACTAATGTATGATGTAATTTTCACAGCCAAAAGTGATCAATGACGCAATGATTTAATGTACAGCACTTCTTAAGATGAATACAGGTGATTTTTTCCTTGTAAACTAGCTGCAAATCAATTTTTGAGATTACGATTTTTTTCAGATGGGGTCCAATTCTGAATTACTATAGTGCATCTTGTAGCCCTCGTGATACTGATCATTTATGATACCCATATGACCTATTTCTGATGAGTGATGAGTAAGCTATTGAGTTGTGAAGTTAAGGTTTTTGGTGTTACATGTTGACTTGTGACTGTAAATTCGAGATTCACACCAATTTCTTATGTCCCTTATAACTTTTTACATAAACCTCCGTTACTAATGGTTTAAAGTTTGTACGTTATGTCATACACTCCTCTGCGTTGAATGAGCTATCTACCAACCTAATCTGACGTCATTTGACATATGTAATCAACTGAAAACCTTCATTTTTGACTATTTTCACCTATTTTCTTCACTTTTCACAGCTGCTACTCTCTTTTACTTGCTCATGTAATATGAAATCATCTTCTAAAACCTTAAAAATCCCCGAAAATCTTCTTGGCAACCTTAATTTCCACTACTACCACCATTACATATGTAAACTACACGTATAACCCTTGTTTACCATCCTCAAAAAAGTACCTTTCTGCTAATAACTTCCGTTTTCTCCTATCAACCACCAATATTAAAGTTGTTAATGTATTAATAAAATGTTATTCTTTCATATTCTAACCCTAATCAACCCGTAACTTAATTATTAATACCCTAAAAACCATTTTCCAACTTTTACACCTATATTTTTGAATTTTTCTTATCTTTTCTTTTTCTGTCTTTTTGTAATAACTTTGTAAGTAAAATATAATGATCTTAAGAATATATATGAAATAAGATGACATAATATTGAGTTAATAACTACACATAAGCCTCTAAGAGCTTCAATTGATCTAAAAACCTTCATTGTGAATTTTCTACTACACTGAAGTTTCCTAATAATTTGATTAAGTTATAATGATTGATTTTCTTGATTGATCCCATAAATAGATCACCACAGCGGCCGGCCCTGAGATCACAGGTCCGGGCCACAGCCCTAATAAGATCACACCAAAACATCGGGTCAGTGTATGTAGTCAATCTTTTGAATGCTTTTTTCAATCTCAAAAAAGTTACAGCATGTATTACATATGAATAACTTATCCTGATGAGCAGATAACTGAGCAGAACTGTATGTACATGATACCCACATATTCACTGAGCCTGCTACACATATGTAGTGTGGGTGTTATGGCTCAGGCGTGGAGTGATAGATCATTTTATGACAAATCATACTCCCAATCATTTTTGCCTGCCCGCTTGGGGATGTTGAATAATGTTTGCAGTGCACCCGCCCCCGCCCACAAAGACTTTTCTCCAACAGGCAGTCCACCGCCTACACCCCCCAACACACCAAGTCAGAGCCTTTGAAAAGGTAGATACCTGATAATAGACTGCTTGAAAGAAAAAGGCATAAGTGTTTTGGCAAGAACTGAACAAATCAAGGTCCATTAAAGCTGGACATGTAAAACAATAAGAGATATCTTTTATTCACATTCAAATTTATTGATTTAATATTGGACATTTGTTTAGGACTAACTGCAGTGATGCATGTAGCATTTTTTATAGTTCTGGGATTCAGTATTTTTTGGTTTGGAGGCAATGCATGAGAGGAGAAGAACACCGACAAAGAGCTGTATTTGCACTTGGTTTTTGACTCAGCTTATGACAGAATCACTATTTAACCCTTGTTTTGACAATCAGAAAATATGTACACAAAGACATTGTGCATATTCGTCAGCAGGTATATTTGTGTTCTCAAGAAAGCTCATGGCGCATGGAGACAATATTAGTGTACGTACTTTACAAAGCTTGGAAAATCTGGCAATCTCATACCAAATAATTGATGAAGAAATATTAAATGAGAGATTGATTGACAGCTTAAAAATTTTAATTTTGCTTTGGTAGATTGGCCTTGCAACAGGATGACCTATGGCTATCAGAAAGCTATATCAACTCCTCGTACTCTCCATCTTGGTTGAAGTTTTCTTGACAATTTTCATATCAACCCAAGTTATGTGACCGGGTACGTTCGGCTTCGGGAATCGGGATCACTGCTGTTAGCAGTATCCGGACCGGCAGTCGCGGATATGTATGACAGAAATCAAATTCTGACGAAAAGAAAACTTGAGAAACAAGCATCTGGATTGACACATCAAGAATCGATCGAGATAAAATGGGCGTCTTCTCAGCTATGGACTCAGACGACTTACAACTTCATATCTTGGCATTACTCGCCCAATCACCCATCTCAGACACTCGAGAACTCCAACCTCCTAGGGATAGCCTTAGCAATCCACCTGATGAATCGGATGCAAGTCGAGCCGAAGATCAGTTATCCATCAAGGGTGCACTAGATAGTCTGGCAGGAAAAGAGGTATGCCTATTCGTTCAAGAAAATATGAAGGATAATTTTGAAGTAGCACTGAATATATTCGATGTCACTTTTTCGATTCAGATGGTCACATACCAGACTCACAACATTGAAGTACATGTTCTTAGTACAGAAGGAAAAGAATTAGCCTCTTCGGGAAGTCATGAGTATCGGGTCTGGCAAGTTTTGGGCGAGAAAGGAATGTTGATGGCAGAGTTACAAGCAAGCCTGGGTGCGGAAGGGGCAAAAGTCGGTCAAGGAAAGGCTTTTCGGAATAAATGGATTAAGAAGCGAAGCGACGGTGGATTTGCCAGGGCTGTACGTCGTCGAGACTTGGTTATTTTCAAGCTGGTCGATTCCCATTGATCTGGTACTGAACTTCAGGATCCTGACTATGATTACAGATGGAGGCCGATCAGATCATAGACCAGACAAAACTGGACCTGGTTGCCATTGAAACTCATGGCAGGCTTCCAGATGATGATGCTAAAGGAACCAGAATTGCCGACTACAGGAAACGGAAACTTTGCGAAAAGAAGTAGGATAACTTCAATGACTTCGTGCGATGACGGATCTCAGATCATCGGCTCCTGACTCTGACTTAAGTTCTTGATCGTCCAACCTGCGTCTGATGACCTGCACAGGAAGTACATGTATTTTTCAGCTGACAAAGGAACCAAATTCGCCACAACGATCGAGAAACCTGAGACAGATCTGACAGCTGAACTTTTGTCATCGTAAGCTATAACTCAGTGCATATCTATGGCTTGTTGCTGTCGCTGCCCATCCGTTTCTTTCCTTGATCGACTGATAATGATTTTGCGCCCCTAGTGGACTATGGCAGACAGCCAAGTTTAAACCGTATAACTTCAATGCAGTAGGCGTGCTGCCTAATGGTGGAGCTCTACATCCGCTTATGAAGGTTCGAGAGGAATTTCGTAACATTTTCTTTGAAATGGGGTTAGTTTCGCTTAAGGTGACACACAAACAGGCGCACGAAATGAAATTTGGCCCCCCAGATGTTTGACATGATGTTATTTTCATTCAGATTCACAGAAATGCCAGCCGATAGATATGTGGAATCTTCTTTCTGGTGCTTTGATTCACTTTTCGTGCCCCAACAGCATCCTGCGCGTGAATCTCAGGACACCTTTTATCTTAAGGGTGCGTGATCTACTATGAAAGTTTTTCTAAATCACCTCTGATTTGTTTGTCAATTTAACTCGTTTATGGTATTCAGACCCGGTGGTTTCCACTGAATTCCCGGATGATTACTATAAAAGCGTGAAGAAGATTCACGAAACAGGTGGACATGGCTCGATTGGTTACCGGGCTCCCTTCCAGAAATCCGAAACCGAGAAGCTACTTTTGCGAACGCATACAACCTCTGTCTCAGCAAATATGTTGTATGAAATTGCCCAAGATTGCCGCAAAAAAGGAAACGGGGAATTCGTACCCAGTAAGATGTTCAGTATTGATCGAGTATTCAGGAACGAAGCAGTCGATGCTACTCACTTGGCAGAGTTCCACCAAGTGGAAGGCGTGGTAGCAGATAAAAACATCACGCTGGGAGATTTGATCGGTACATTGAACAACTTGCAAGCTTCATTCAAGCCATCTTTGAGGTGCTGATATTGAAACTTACGTTCCAGGCTTCATGAAAGTGTTTTTTGCCAAGATGGGAATTCATGATATCCGGGTGAAACCCACTTACAACCCTTATACTGGTAAGCGCATGAACGTCTTGAAAATCTATTTCGATAATGTTGATGTACTCGCCCTTCAAAAAAATCGTTCGTCATATCACCAGAACCATCCATGGAAATCTACTCATGGCACGAAGGTTTGAAGAAATGGGTTGAGATCGGAAACTCGGGTTTATTCCGGCCTGAAATGCTCGGTATGTCCTGTCAAGACTCATGTCGGAATCGGATTACAAGTAATTGACGTGTTTCGTACTTGGCCTTCCGGTTTTCAGAGCCAATGGGAATCCCACCGGATGTGCGAGTATTAGGGTGGGGGTTGTCACTTGAAAGGCCTACAATGATCAAGTCAGTCTTATCTACTTCTTTTCAAAGTAGTCTTCGCTCCCACTGACAAGTAACATTGAAAAATTACATTAGGTATGGCATCTCCAACATTAGAGAGCTACTTGGACACAAAGTTTCTTTGGCGAGCGTTCAACAAGCAGCCGCTGTCAGATTTTGAGAATAAATTTGATCTCTGTTTTGTTGATTCAAGATGCCAATACTTGTTGAACTTGTCGAGAAGTACTACTTGTGCGCCATCTTAGCTCTGCTGTTCAGTAAGAGCAGGTCGGCACTTCAAACTGAACCCATGACTCATGATGATTGTCAACATGACCTACCCCCAGGCGGTCTGTACAGCCCACCTTGTATGTGTGCTACAAAGACATGCAGTCATTGTAGCTCAACGACCTTTGGGACAGACCCTGCATCCCGGCGATGGTTATCAAGTTTCCACCTGCAACATCACTTGTTCCTATAAGACCAGAAGATAATTTAGTATCCTTCACTTATGTTGTTTTGACAATGAGAGCCAGAAGAGATAGCAACCACCATGTCTGTATCCCTGTAGGATGTTGATGTGCACACATGGAGAGTTTCCAAAAGAATCTGGAAGAACTTTTCTCAAGTTCAGACTGATGGATCACCTTTATGCACATACCCTTTGTTGGAACTCAATTGCCCGAGACTCAACAACCCACTTAATAAAGGCAAAGCCTTAAGACCTCTTAGGCTCTTGCAAGTTTCTATCAAAAGTCTTTTGTGTGTGCACATTGACATGTGTGATATCCCGTTTCTTTTGTTTCCCTTTGTCTCCTCTTTTTGTAATAGACTTTTTGAAGACATTTGTGTGCTTTTCAAATGTCCTCCTTTTGACAAATCCTTGCCTGATTTGTCCTCTTACATTGGATCCAGCCATAGATAGATCTCACCGACTATCATGTTGTCTTCCCTTTCTTATTTCCTTATTAGTACTTTGTAGAGACGGACGCCTATATAAGGTGTCCTCTTCTTGCTCCAGGAATACAACCCTAAGCAGCTTCTCAGGAGAATCACCACACCGATCCTCTATTGAACATAACACGTGTCACATGAATACAGACATGGTGAATTGCTTAAAAGTCACAAAAGATCAACTCGATCATGGCAAAGAGGCAATTCTTTGAACTTGATTACAAACAAACTCAGCAAAAGCTGAGCAATGTGAGGTTGGGGCAGATTGTGATCTAGACTACTGGGTAGCCACACAAAACTTTGGGTCTGACCTTGCCAGACCCTCAAAATCATACAATTTCATACCAATGCCACTAGCTTTGTCTCAAGTAGCTATTGATGTACTATTGCCCTACACTCAACTGAAGTAAAAGCAGAGGTCAACTTTTGATAAATAGGACACATAACCTACCATGTGTAAAATTGGCCAGATCAGATGAGGCACACATTTTCAATGGCAACTGAGAATCAGCAACAAACTTTGATCATGACATGTTTCCTCAATCTGATCCCAGAGGGCAAATATTGGGGTGTATGTTTTTTATCCAAAATTAGTTTTGTATCATCTTGGTTACATATTCAAGGGCATACAACCATTTTTATGTAGGCCATCCTTGGCTATGTCTACTGGCCTTTGCGCATCAGCCTGCTCCTCATTGTCAAAGACTCTAGATCTAATTATATTTTATGTATCCTTTGAGGTGGTACTGATTCCTCTAACACTTCTAGTAGGGATTTACAGGCGGCAAAGGAGGATTAGTGCAGCATATCTACTATTTCTATATACACTATTTGGGAGTCTGCCAATGCTTCTATCATTTCTCAATATATATACAATTATGAATACAACAAATATAGCAGTACTAAGTCTAACAACATTTCCAAATTAGATTTTGCTGTCACTATCAACTTTCATCTGAGATTTCCTGTTGGTTTGAGTAGAGAATCATGTTCAGTATTTCAACAAGAGGATGATATGATGATCAAGAATGAAGGAATTCTATTGATGGATTTATAAGTACAAGCTTTGCAGACACAAAATCAGGAAGGGTAGCATAGGCTACAAAGAAAGGACACATTAGGGTGTTTTGAGTTTGGATTTTTTTACATATTTTTTTAAAAAATCAGGCAAGTTCTTTTTGATTGTTTTTTGTAAAACTAATGTATTTACAATTTGGGACACCTTTCCAGGTGTCCTGCTATAAAAAAGTTAAGCATATTTTACAACAATGGGCAATAGCATAATAACGCACAAAAACCTTCAACTTGAACCCCCCTAATACATATACAAAGACTACTTGACTAACTGACCTACAGATATGAAAATAGAAGTATAAAATCATGAAGAATATAAAAGAACAGAAAGGGAAGAAATAGCTAAGATTATTGATGGATGTATTTTGACCTAGAAGGTTTAAGTCAAGATATATGATATAAGGGAAAAGAATTGATACATAGGTCTCAGCTTGATACTGTGTTGACAAGATACCAGTTGAAATGTAATGGAATAAAATGAGAAATAACAAATTTAGCAGAATCAATTAGTAATTGTAAAACTTGAGAATAAACAAAAGATTAAATTGGAGTGGATTGACTAGAATGAAGACTGTGGGAGAAATTACTCTTTTCCTGTACCATAGATAGACAGATGAGGAAAAGAGAAGTGTACATGTCCCAGGAATAATGGTGCAAGTCAAAGAGAAAGTTGGGTTTTGTAATTTGATATTTAATAAACTTGTGATTTGAGTTTAAGTATCTTAATGTCTTTAATCTGCTTGTCATGACTTCTGAAACACCATACCAAGTATATCTCAACACAATTGACTGCAATGTGCAACACAATACAGTCAAACCTGCGCGAATGCATACCCGTGCAGCTGCATAACCCGTGATAATGCATAGAAAAAATCTTGAATCTTGATATGTTTTACTGCCAAATTTGACAACAGAAATGCATAACCCGCCAAAATGCATAGCAAAAGTCTTCCACCCAAATTATGTGTTTGCGCGGGTTTGACTGTAGAGATGAATTGTCAGATGACTGAGTGAAACTCTATCTTCTACATCCTGTGAACTTCCTCAGGAAAGGCTAAAAATGGTGCACAATGGATGTTCTGGACATTGTGACACTTAACTCTTTGCTGGTAGCAGTCACCAACTCTTCCTATGAGCTCAAAGAGATACATTAGACAAGTTTGACATTGGGTGTATGAGGGCAGTTGAATTTGAACCTGAGGAATAATCACAATTCCTAGACCAATGACACCAAATATACCTGCAATTAGTTTGTTGCATAAGAGTCAAAAGAAAAGTAGAACAAAGGTGGTTAGTTCACCAATAGAATGCAAACTGCCACAGAGAAGATAGAGTTATCTCCTTTCAATCAAATTTCAAACATAAAAGGAATGATGGATTTACAAGTGAAGCTGAGTATGAGTGCTCCTGCAATTTCTTGTTCATCCCCATTTGAAAACGTGGACCCACACATCCAAACGGTAGAGAACTGAATCATTGTGTATTATATTTGAAGTTAAGAGATGCACACATGAGTCTTTCAGCAATGCAACATCCTATGTGACTGCTCAAGCCCATGGAGAGGGCATTGAGAGTGATATGTAACAAAAATTGACAATATCAGGTAGTCTTCCTGCCAATAAAAGTCTACCACTGTATGCAAGTGCAAAACTGATGGATATCAGCTGGATACTTGTTGTGTCAATGTCTAGGTATGGCCAAAGAAACAACAATAGTATAAGATGCTCCAACCAAATATACATTGTATACACTGCTCTACCCAAGATGATGATCCAGCTTGGTCCAAATCTGGCTTGGGTCAAGACAGTGACCTTCCAAGGCCAATAACATCATCGATTTTGCTCCAACACATGTAGTGTCTTGACATTCTGAATGCCACATTGTGTTGTTACACTGTGGATGCACAAAGCAGTTGTGTGTCTCAAATAATGGGTGATATATATCAAGATCTGTACACAGTAGGAACCCTATATAAGCATAGAAAGCATTACTACAATGGCTTCAGCACCTTAATAAACTTTGTAGACCCATTATGTGGCTTTCATAAATTGCAAGTATTTGAGCAATTGGCTACACCACAGGGCGGGTGGCACATGACGCTCACATGAATTAATACACCACACGCTGTCTACATTGCCATACCCGATGTGAGCTACACATGCCAGCCAGCGTGAGCTCCACCCAATGTGATCCGTATCATAACAAGGTGAGCATCTCACATCACAACAAGGTGGAATGACTCACACAGTGACAAGGTGAGCTATCTGACATAACAACAGTGTAAGCCTGATCAATCAATGGCCAGATGAGTGATTCCTCTCAGTGCTCATTCCACCTTGTTTGGTATTAATAGCCAACCCACTCAAATCAGGCTTGGCTGTTGTTTTTGCTGCCAGAATTGTGCATAAATAAAGTCATCCACTTTTTGCATTAGCAGAAACTCTCAAATACTACATACATATATCAAGCAAATAGGAAAGATAAAATTGGAAGAGCACAGTTGAAAAATAGAGAGAGAAAGATTTATATCAAATAAAATTGATCAGAAGGTGATGGGGATCTTTGTATCAAAGGGAATGATGATGTGAATATGACTGATTTTGAGACATGAAGCCAAATAGATGTATATATCACTTGTCTAATATGGACAGGTGATTGAGCCAGTGATTGAGCAATCTGATCTATGGACAAGCGAGAGTAGGATTAAAAGCAAGAGTTCGATAAAAAGCAGTTACAAGAGATAAGCAAATTTGAATCATGAAGTTAAGATGTTTGAGAACAGGAAAGTTGCACTTGAAATATTAAGTTTTTGTAGATTGTTACTTTGAAAGAAAGGAGCTCGTCTTGAGTGTATCCGTTTTGTTGAATGATTATTATTTGTTTTACTATAGCTGATTTTACTGATTCTCCTGATCTACATAATAGAATTGGAGAAGAATGATAAAGATTGATTAGTTCATTGAGTAATTGTTTATTGAACTTCAGAAGAATTGGCTTTGAAGTAGTATGATGAAGTGTGATTCTTTTATGAGTCTTTGAAGAAGAGAAAGAGAGATAAACCTACAATGGTGAAAGTAGATTGATATTGTTAAAGAACAATAAAGGGCATTGATGAATATGATGGGATCGATTAAGACAATTGATCAGAAAAGATTGATGTGAAGGACAGACAAACTTACCATGATGTTATCCAATTTGTCCTTGCAATCTATTACATTCATGTGATGCAGTTGTTGAATCTTGCTATTGAAGATGCGAGAGATGTGAGAGTGAGACTGCTTGTGATCGATCGAAGTGGTGAAGTAGGAGTGCATTGCAAACTTGCGTGCGGAACAACTTATAAGAAGAACGATGGTGGTCAGTGGATTTTAGAGAAGTAAAAACCGGTGACGTCACTGTCCCTCAGAAAAATAAAAAATAAAAATAAAAATCCCAAAAAAAATGTACAAGTACAAATTTCCTTGTCTTGTGTTCTCGAGAATTTGAGTCATCCAAGCTGATTCAGGTGCTGAGCACCTGGCTGATAGGTCCCACTCACACGCATCAGCTCATCCGCTAATAGGCTGGTACATCACAGTAGCGTAACATGCGTGTAGAACGGGTGACCTCACCAGCGAGCTCACGTGTAGAACGGGTGACAAGCTTGGATGAGGGCCACGTAGCCGCGGTCACACTGCTGCCACCTGTTCTACACAACCACTTGGGGTGGTCATACCCAACTTACATTTCACGTGGTCCCAGTTCAAAGTCGCCCCGTGGTGTAGTTTTGGACCAAATTTGAGTTTCTGAACTGATCTCCCCTGTGAGCATTTTGATTTGGGAGATCTTCAAAACCAAAGGCAAAAATATACAAAAATATGCAGAATGAGGGGACAACACATGTGGATTGGACCATTGTTTTTTCAAATTTTCTGACCTCTCCTGTTTTTCTGGAGTTCTTTGACCTTGAGGCAAATCATTCATATTAATCATTCATATTAATGGCGAACCATCAATTCGAACAAAACTGGAAAAAACCTCCACTTTCCAGCTGGACAACTGCGAGTTTTGGCCTGCCGAAGTTTCGCCCTCGGGAGAATAACTTTCCAACCCCAAATCACTCTTTCTGCGACGTAATTAATATGTAACACTTTTATTTTCATAACTCAGGTTAGTCTATTCTTTCAAACGTAACCTCCTTTGATAACATTATATCCTGATTAATGATCCTGATTAATGATCTGGATGTGTCCCCAGTTTTAGCAACCACCTTCCCAGATTTGAGTGTCATCAAAGACCAAACAATCCTGATCAGACATCTACCCTCAAGATGATTCAACTAGACAAGCAGAATGATCGCTTGAAAGAATAGTTTGGTCAGTTCATAAGTTAATTACTCAATAGCTTCTCGAGTTGTGGTTGATCATAGCCAACCGATTTGACCATAAATATAGAATAGGATGCGTGATTTATTTCACAAAGCTGACTTGACAAGTTGTAAGAAGATCTCCGATTTTGAGCAAGAAATTGATCTGTCCGCTGAGCTCAAAGGTAAACCGTTTTGCTCGACTACAGGTTCATGGGCTTTTTGGTGTATTTTATGTAACTCTAACTCCCCGGGGATGGTGTGATAGGCGAATATGATGTCCTCATGAACAAGCTCTCGATCGCTGAAGCACAGATTGAAGAACTGAAGCAACAACTGGACGGCTCCATGGTTGCTGAAGACATGCTTGAACTGACTGAACAAATCTTGACTCTCAATGAAGTACGTGATCTGGTCGCAAAGTTTTCTCTTCCAAGGTCCTGACACATCAATTTGGCAATCAGAAAACCGACGATATGAAAACGATCATCAAAGATTTAGAAGCTCTGAAGCAGCTAGCAGACGAGCTGGAGGATCATGTCAAAACAAAACAAGAAACACAAGAAGAAATTCACATTCTTTTGTGGCAATCCATCATATCAAGCTTCTCGATCTTTGAATTCTTTGTTATTCTGACTCAGGCCAGATTTCGAAGATTTGCAGCTCCGCGAGCAAAGGAACCAAAACGAGTCACTGGAAGAATCTGTAGCCGATCACGAAGACACGATTCTGTGATTCCGTGAATTGGTCCTGAGCTTACCGACGTCAGTATTAGTTGCTGCAGTAAACGAAACACTCTTTTGCTCCATTTTGACAATGCTGTGCTGTTACTCAGATATTCGGAAGCTTTGCGTGAGTGTCAGCAAATTCAATATGATGAATTGCAAACACTGGCCAATCATACACAAGCAATGTTGAAATTGAATAGGAAATTACAGAGCTCGAGTATCAAAGGACAAGTGAAAGCCATTGATTTGGAACTTCGAAAGCTGGAATCTACACGAGCAGTGCTACCATGTACCATCATGAAGGTATATTGTTCAAAACCCTTTGTCTTAAAATGAATCGATCACTGAAACACATGTTTAATTCATTTGCAATGCTCTCAGCCGAATCCGTTACCTGCTTACTTCAAAGCTGATCACGACTCTGTTGTTTTTTTCACCAGGCTAGCTGCTAAAGCCGAGCTCACGTCTTCCGTGATCAAGACCACGAATAACATCAGCAAAAGTTTGACGACCTTTGTGACCAAAATAGTGGTGATTGCATCCAAAGTAGGCAACAACTTAAATGACTTGGTTATCCTCCATCCTTGGTTTTGATTACTCATATCAGTAGTGTTTCCATACAGACCCAATTCAAGCTTGTAGTCTAGAATCCACAAACTAGCAAAAGAGGAAGGAATGAAGGAAAACAATAAGGACAAACTTCAAAATGAAATCATTAATATTATCATCAGATTTGTTAGATGTAATCAAACACAAACAGTCAATAGATAGAACTATCATTTCAATTCAAGATTCATCAGATGGAAGTACTTGTAGTTTGAACTAATGAAGACAACAACCCAAAATCAACTTCAACTTCAAATTACCTTCAAAGATAATGTTGATCAGACAGAAACGATCAGAACAGTTCACTGAATGCTGAAATTATCAAAACAAACTTACATGCAAATCCAACTGTTGGATCAACACTTATCAACCAAACTCACTTCAAATTGAAAAACATCAAACAAATCCGAATCGACTAGGAGCTCATTTCTCAACAGCAATTTCAAAAAACAACAATATGAAGAGTACATGAATATATAGCTTTATCATTCATCATTCAAGTTAAAGGCGAACCAGCAATCCAGACAAAATCCACAAATTGTCTACTTTTCAGCTGAATAAATCCAAGTTTTCGTCAGCCGAAGTTTTGGGCTTGCGATAATTATGTTCGATTTGCTTATTGCTTTCATACAAACAGAAATTTCGCCTTTGGTAGGTTCATCGACACTGATAGAAACGTGAGATATTACACGTGGTTGGCGACTCACATCATCCGGTAAGAAGGTACAGCTCTGCTTCAACTTCATTGATCATGACGTTACTAAACCCTCATTGTTTGTCTCTTTCTGCTCAGATCTCAGACAGTGATCCTTCATCACCTCCTGATTACAGTATGACAACTTCTTCACCCACCTGATGGAACACCAGTCACCACCTTCAAATTGAATTGAATTTAAAGTTAAGAAGGAGATTAAGTCGGATTCAAGTGTACAAATTGAAAAAAGGCATACACCGGACTAAAAGGTATCGATTGGAAGAAGGCATCAATAGGTCTCATTTATATATCTTCAGTCTTAAACTTGACTCTGACTTCAGTCTTGACATATTTGATTATAGCTTTGAGACACTCAGTCTTGGAGCTTTACCCAAAAGCGGGCAAACTCTAGATCAAATGAAGTTCAACTTCAACTCACAAAACTCATAGCAACCTATCAACTTTTTTCGCACTTTTTCATTGAGCTGTCATTTGATTCTGTTGGGATCGGCTTCTGTCTCAGCAAACCCCCTTACAATCCGGTCCATGCGTCCTTTCGCAAGGATGGGCGTGTATTTGTCAATATAAGGCATGCTTTGGTGGTCACTTGGCCAAGCTCGATCCGATTTGCTGCATTGATTGAACTTCCATTTTTCTTTGCACAACCCAATACTCAACTCGAATTCTCCTTCGCATCTCATATCCCAGTAGGCGGTCTACTGTACCTACCCACCTTTCACCGAATGAACCTTCCCCTGGCTCCGTTTGTAGATCAACTTTACCATCTATGACCGCCAGTAAGATTTCGTATGTCAGAGAACAAAGTCTTTACGTCGAGCCTTAACCATATTATGTTTATGACCGCTCTTTTCTCCACTCCAAACATGACATCATTCATTTCGTACCGCTTTCCATATCTCGCCTCGCCATCTTGAAGCTCAGAACACTGCCTCAAATTATGTGTGTCTGCGTGTGTGCTCATTTTTTTCACTGGCAACAGCCTTTACTTATCTTCCCTCGTCTCTTCCTGTCAACGACTCAATTACTTTATCACTCAATAATTCACCTGTCTGAACAATGTAGCAACTTTTAACATTCCCCTCCTCAAATTGAATCATGTCTATCATGGGCCTCCTGATCGCCAATGAAAAGCTACTTGATGATCAAGCACAATATCTCCTTGACTGAAACTCTGCACAATTGTGACGGCTGAATGATCAGCACAAGGTACTTCTTGAAGCTGTGGGTGGCTACATCCCAGTTCCATTCTTGGTTCACATGGAGAACATCTCCGCCATACTTGATCTCGGTACTGGCAATGCTCAGTGGCTTCTCGCATTGCGGCAGTCTGGTATCATCGCTTAAGATGTGGAGTTGTATGGAGTAGATATTAGCAACTGTATGATTCCAAGTGTTGAGGTAGGGAAGCAATTTGGACTCACCCTAGAGGTTCACGACTTATGCAAGCCATTTCCGAGTCATTGGAATCAAAAATTCGATCTTATTCATGGAAGACATGTTCTTATATGGATCAAACCCCACAAATGGCCGACAGTGCTCAAGCATCTCAAACAATCTCTCAACACGGGAGGGGCATTGGTGGTAAGCTTTGATATGGAATGCTGTTTTTGATTGGCTTCAGAATTGGATAACGTATAATGAAACTTTCTTACTTGTGGTTCTTCTCTCTATCAATGACCATGCTGCTGTTTCAGATAATGTATCCGGGTGAAATCCCCTATGATGTGCACACCGATGCACCCTTGGCTTTCATTTTAGCGCCAATGAAGTTCTTCTCAGCTTTCATTCGGTACGTACTCAGCGTGTCTGGGAATTTTTATGTGAAGTTAATTCATCAGCCCTTTTGATACAGGTACACGGCAGAACCTGATGTCACACTACGACCTGCCAGCCCTCATCATTTAGACTTTGTCGTCCAAAAGACTTGAAAAATGGGCAAACTGATGTCATTCAATGACATAGGTTGCTCATCTTACCATGACAAAGACGGTGGGTCCTCAAATCTCATGCAATTCACTCTTCAATAAGATTCTGATTATTGGGCTTGCTCACCTCTTTCACGAACTGCAAGAAAGCCTTTCACTCACTCAATTTTCTCACCTCTGTGTCTAATAATCGACGAAAAAGATGAAGATCACAATGCAATTGCTATTGCTTCGAAGGCTTTGTTTCCAAAGAGGGCTAACTCTCGACAAGGCGTCACTGGAAGCACGGATGATAACAGTTTTCCAGCTGTATCCACTGTTAAAATTGGGTGTCAACGATGGGATCAGGAAATTAACAATCCTTGAAGATACAGTGCACGGTTTGTCAGTAAGAACGTCGCTTTTTCTTGAATTTGACTCGAGCTTACCATCTCTATCTCTATGATAGGGATAACTTAGATATCTCAGCACTTGCCATCCATTTCAACTTCAAACGCATGGAATTCAAAGTGATTAAGAGACAAAGACATGGGCTGATTCAGGGACTGTAAGTTGATCATTGTGGTTATACTACCACCAAGCCACAAAAGCTGAAGTCGCTCTTGATAAACAAATTCAAAATGATCAAAATTAATCCAGACAATCACTTCCAAGTTTCAACACCATAAACCTCATTCATCAAATTACTATCCATATCAAAAACAAAAACATTAATCAATGAGAACAAACAATAACAAGTCGATTACTTATCATCATGACAAGCAATCCAATCAGCCAATTGTGTACCTGACCCAAGCACCAAATCAATCAGAATTGAAAGTCAATCAATCATGAAAAATAAAAAAGACCGATTAATCTTTGAAACCTGATTTATCAACAGTTTCAAGTTTGATAGCTGCTATACAAGAAAGATCTAAATTCTTAGAAACTTGACTTTATTCTAGAAGACGCTGAATAAATGATTTAAGTCATTATATTTTTCAAAGAATCTTTCCATCTAATTTGATTAATCTGATTTCAGAAAGTAGTTCAAGTTCAAGATGGTTTCAATCAAGTAGTATATTAGATTTTCATCTATCTCAAATCAGATCTTATACTACCACAACAAAAGACAAGGATCTTACTTTTGAAACTTGCTTTCATGCTAGAAGAAGCTCTTTAAATGATTCAAGTCATCATATTTCTCAGACAATTTTTCCACATAATTTGATTGATCTGATTTTAGAAAGTTGTTCAAGTTCAAAATGGTTTCAACCGGGTTCTTTATTAGAATTTCATCTTTCTCAAGTCAGATCTTCTACCACAACAACAAAGGATGAGCATCCCACTTTAATGATTGTCAATAAAGTTTATTTGTTAGCTGCTTTGAAAATTAGGATGTCCTTTTCGAATGCTTCGAAACCATTTAGAACTTCAATTTCACCTAAGATTTAAATTACTCTAGGTTCAGCTTTCTTGAAACATAAATCCCTTTCTAGGGTTTCTCCAGCGTTTTGTTGCTTGTTATTGCTTATGTAATGTTTGAGCATCCTGCACACATCACCCAATTTTGATATCAAGAGTGTTAGCTGTCACTCCCAACTGAATTACTCTGATTCTTTGGGGCCAAACCTACTTTGCTAATTTTCATGGCCTGAGCAGCCACACAAATATCTTATTTTTGAGCTGGACTATTGTTGTGTTGTCATAGACAACTATTTTGGAATGTGGATCACTTCACAACTACTCCTACAATGATAAATGAAATACAGTTTGTTATATATGCTCACCTGTCTCAACCAACTTCAAGCAACAGAGTAGTGTTTTAATTTTGGAGCTGCTTGTGAAGTTTTTCCAAATTGGAAACAAAATGAAACTTTATGTACTCTGATATGGAATCTGTTAGGGGGTTAGGGTTGGGGCAAGGATATTTTCACTCCGCTCCAAGGTCATGTGTCATCACCTCTGTTCACAATTCCCATGATGCCTCTCAATACTTGATTCCACCATAACCAGAACTCAGAAGCAGTGCAGTATTTTTATGTCCTGTGCCTTCCCTCCCTTTGATGTTGCTTGCTGCACACACAAACAGTGTAAAGCCCTTCCCATATCAAGTCATTCACAGCTAGAGCAGTACACCTTTTCTTTGTCATATATGATGACTGCAATTGGAAACCTTTGATGAACCCAGAATTTGCACAACAAGTTACCCAATTATCAGTACTTATTGGTATGCTGATTGAAAGAGATCCATGGTTCTACTCTAGGAAAGTCAAAAAACCCAAAACATTTTGTTTTTGCAGTGAATAATAGGTGGAGTCCGCACAATAAGGAAGCGGTGGGGTTTTACACTGGCTATGGTCTACAGTTTTGTTTTAGATCTGAATTCAATTGTGCCAAAGGATCGGTAATTATGGTAGCCTTGTATCTGATCTCTGCAATAGAAAGCTATAAAACAGTGTTTACAATTCATGTGGACATGGGTCTGCTATCAAACACAACAACATCCCAATTGAATGGAACATGGAGGATGTTGTTTGACTCCTGTGAACTACACCTCATTGGTGGATTGTGTGACCAAGGTAGCTACTTACTTTGGAATATCATTATACTGAGGCTGGCATTGTGTTGCTTGTAAAGCAATCTTAACATGGGATTGAAATAGATTTGACTGTGCTGTAATTCAACTAATCAAGCCTGAATAAGCTTGCCTCCTCAAGTGATATATGCTCCAGAATATCCTGCAGAATGATATTTCAATTGAATTTTGATAGGAACTTTCTGTGACTGCGGCGCCCGCCGCCAATTTGGCTAGTTGTGATGAAATGCTGGGCACAAATCATACTCAAATTGACTGATATGCATGTAAAGAGTAATTTCCAAAAGTTTCTGCCATCAATTTCTTCATATTCTTCCTAGAATTAACAAATCAAGGAAAAAGTGGACTTCTCATGTAGAATTAATAATTACATATAGAAATATGACTTGTACAGGAAGGCTGTCAATGACAAAAATGTAGATAAGCATATGTCAGAAAGAACATTAAATTTAATGTATATGTATAGTCATAAAGATTGAAGATACAATCACACTATTTGGCGCCCGGTTTCCAAATCACAAAGCCCAGTTTTTGAATTTCATACTTTTTCACAGCCCAGTTTCAAACCGGTTTCATTTCAAACCTGGTTAGATTCTTCTCATACACAATTTCATTGCTCTTGAAGCTCGGAAGTTTACACTCAAATCACTTGATATCTTACAACCCTGCAAGAACAGGCAAGTTTAAAAAATGTAACAAGCAAGACAAGAGTGAGTAGAGACAAAGCAACAGTATCATGTGAGGCACAGCTATCAACATCCAAGCAAAAATCAAACCTAGAAGCTAAAAGGCCAGCCAGCTGAAAGCTACTACAAATTTCAAATCACAACAAGATTTCCATCAGACTTGAGATACTGGGATGTCTCGCAAAAGTTCTCAATCTTATAACATGAACGCACACTCCCATTATTGGACTTGGGCCCAAAGACTTTGATACATAGCTCAAAGAGACTCCCATCATTTCTGTTCCTGTTTGTCCAATTCAGCCGCAAGTCTTCCAGGGACAGTCATACTGGATGTGCTATTACCAGTTCTCTGACGTGCATTATTGTTGGCCCCAGAAAGTGAGCTGAAGGCAACACTACCAGGGGGTGCACCGGCTAATGGTGATCCAGGAAAGGAATATTAAATTTGATGTATATGTATAGTCATAAAGATTGAAGATATTCAACACCCAACTCTTGAGTATAGTACAAAATAATATTTTTATCTGTTTTTTTTAAATCTCAATATCTCAGTCAATTTACATGATAAAGGTTAATAGATTATATGTCCTTGATCGGTGAATAAAGGAGCAGGTGTCTACAGATTTATGATGACATATGATTTGTGGTGGTATGATGGGAAAATGCCCCCACAGTGATATTATGTCAAAATCATCTTGAAACCATTTTGAAATCATGTTGGAATCCTGTTGGAATCCTGTTGAAGTTGTGTTAGTTTCTGGTCTGCCAGTGACTAGTAGCTGGGAGCAACGCCGGGCCACTGCGCTGCCAAAATCGCGCAACGCAGTGGAACGCACCACAGCCGCTATGTGCCGCACCGCAGCGCACCGCAGCGTTTCTGCAGCTGCCAACTGCGCTGCTCAATTCGAGTTGAAAACCAAGGGGTTGCGGTGCGGACGCAGCCGTGGCTCGGGCAGCGCAACCCCGCAGCGGGCCGGGTAGCTGGGCAAAGGGTTCAATGGTACAACCCTTTGCCCATCGATCCATCGACCAATCAGCACATTCTCACCTTAAATCGCAACCTCACTTCATCAGCAACCCCAACTAATCTCGAAAAGGCAAATCCACCTCAACGAATCAAGGGTGATGATATCACCCTTGATTGAAGAAGCACTATGCTTCATTCCCGAACGTTTCAGACCTTCCTTGTCCCGGAAGTTGGCAATATCAAGTTCCCCTCCATCGCCCAGCCTTCAACACTTTCTATCGGGTTTTCATCCTTTCAAAGTTATTTTTTATTCAATCGTCATGGCTAGTAGCCCAGGTGACGAACGTGATCTGGACGATACCTCACAACCTCAGAATAACGTGTCTTCCACTCCTTTACGTCGCTCCAGCCGTCCACCGACTCCTCGTAAAAGTCTCTCTACCATGATTCAGCCCTCGGCTGATAGCAGAATCACTATAACTCTTCCACAACATTCACAATCATCTACTACGTCTCGCCAGAAGAAATCGAGTCAAAAAGCTAAGGATGGAAAGAATTCAGGCGAAAGCGAAGTGTCTAACTCGCAGACGATCACTTCCAAGAAAAGGACTAGGGCCAGCAAATCGAAAAACCCACAGCCTCAGGTAAGCAAAGTTCTTTTGAACTTGCGATAACAGTTACATCACTAACAGCAGTTTCAATTTAATATATGACCAGCTGACCGAAGAAGGTGTACCTTCGGACACCGAGATGAATCAAGACTCGGATGATG